AGCAGGAAGGTGACAGTAGCAGAAGAGGTATTTTGTTTTGCTTTGTTTTGTTTTCCCCCAGGAGGAGGTACCTGCACTGCCTTCTGAACTACTTGTGAAGTATAGTAAATATATGGATTTAAAAAAAAACAGAAACATAATTCAAATCCCTATAGTGGTGCTGCTCAGATTTCTGCTTCTGTAGCAATGAGAACCCAAGGTGGCCTTTTCAGGCTCGCAGCTCGTCTACCCATTTCCAGTTTGGCCTGAGGATTCTTAAAACACTAGAGTGCATGCTTTAAGCCCACAAAACTTACCTTTACCTAATTTCACCATTCCAACCTAAGTTTCCAGGGAAACAGGGTTGAGAGAGCGCCGGTAGCCAGCAGGCAGCCGGCAGCGGAGAGGGAGGACTCTCCTTTGTGCCTTTTCCCTCCCGGATGCCTGCTGCGTGCCAGCGAGCGGAGCTCGCGCAGCCCCGCAGACCTGGCGTCCCCTCCGCGCGCAGGAGAAAAATTAAATTAATCTACTCTGCTCTCCCTTTGGACTGCCGCAGTAAATTCCAGGAGGGCAAATGGGCTAATGAGGCCTGAGCTGTTCGCTTGCGCCAAGCTGCCCTGCATAATCCGAGCGCTCCGAAGCGATCGGGCCTCCGTGTCGCCGACCGCCGTGGTTTCAGAGCAGCCCGTGCAAGATTTGTGCCCAGGCATGGGCACGCGCGCACCTTAATTCTTTGTTTGTGGAGCTCCGTATTTTTACAGAAATGTATATATGTTTACACACACACAATATACATATTTCTGAGCCTTTCTGCAGATGGCGTAGTGCACGTTTACCATTCCCTTTTCTTTTTCCTGTATGCTCAGGGAGCATTTCTGAATGGGCACGTTATAACTGATCCTCAGTTAAATATTAGGAGGAGTATGTGAATGGGGATGGCTTTTAACCAGAAGTAGATTATAGCTGCAGGAAGACTAAAGGGTCTATTTGGTCAAGACTCATACAGAACTGAGATAAGCACGCACAACCTGACAAGATCAGATTAGACCCTTCCCCCACAAGTGCTTTTCCCATAAATATTTATCCACTTCCTTTTATAAATAACCAGGAAATGAAAAAGGATAGATTATTAAAAAAAATGGGCTAGAAATAGAAATGCTGCTTCAAATCTTATGAGTAATGATATTTTAAGTAGGCAGTAAATTCCACTACTAATTGCTGTTTTTAAACGGGAGCAAAGTGCTGAAATTCTCCACGGCAGCTACGCAGTGCAGCAGGCCTCGTAGACAAAGAACAACTTTGCACACGTGCGCCTTTTGGGCCTGTTATTAGGGATTTGGGCATTAAATGGCTTCTCACCTGTGCGAGAAGCGGTGCTGACAGAGTGAGCTCCGCTGCGTTTCCGTGCGTGCCGCGGGCAGCGTGGCTGGGGC